AATTATTAATTATATAATAAATATATTAAAAATATATATATACTTAAACTTTTAATCTATAATGCCTCAACAATTATTACTTAAAAAATATGCATATATAAGTGTTTTGCTTGAAGAAGGTTATACAAGTCACCAAATTGCCTCTCGTGAAAAAGTTGTATATTCAACTATTATTAGATTACATCAAAAAATAAAATTAACAAGTAGTTTATAGAATAGATTCAAATTAAGATAACCACAATATTTTTTTAAAAGATTTGAAAAAATAATTATACACTATATCTTAATTAATGAATGTTTTATAGCTGTTGATATTCAAAAAAAACTTAAAATTAAAGAAAAAGTTGATGATTCAGCTGAAACTATATGTTGAATACTTAAAGAAATGGATTTAAGTCAAAAGTTAAGAGTGAAAACCTATTTCTTAAAAAAAAAATGCAAAAGTAATTAAAATTTATCAAATAATATAAAGATTGAACTATCGAAGATTGAAAAAAAATAGTTTGATCTAATGAATGTAAATTTATGTTTATAATTCAAATAGTAAACAATATTGTTGAAAAAAATCTAACAAGTCTTTAAATAAATGATATATTAAACCAACAGTTAAATTTGATAGTAGAAATATAATGGTTTGGATTATTTTTGTTCTCAAGGAATTGAAAATCTTTGTCATATTAGTGAGAAGATAGATAGTAAACTTTATTATCAAATACTTAAAGAGGATTTTCTAGGGACACTTAAATAATATAATATAAATAAAAATAATATTATCTTTTTACAAGATAATGATCTCAAACATACTTTAAAACTTGCTAGAATCTGGATTGATAATAATAATATTAATGTTTTTGAATGGCCTGTCCAGTCACCTGATCTTAATCCAATAGAGCATCTTTGGAGTAAAGTTAAATATTAATTACATATATCTTCTGAACAAATTATGAGTAAAAAAGATTTATGGGATAAATTACAAGATATTTGAAATAATATTAAATTAGAAAAATATATTAAGTTATTTGAAACAATGTTAAAAAAAATTAATGATATTATTAAGGCAAAAGGTGGATATATTGAGTGATAATTTTTCTATTAATGTATAACATAGACTGAACTCAATTTTAGTTAATCTATCTTTATTTGTTATAATTTATTTATTAGTATTATTTAATGTATAATATAAATTAAATTCAGTTTTTCTAAATATATTATCAAATTTATTTTTTATCATTAAAAATAACAAGCTGAACTTATAATTATAATACAGTCACAAAAAAAAAATTACAAATAATACAAATTTAAAAAAATTAAGAGCTTTTAATTTCTTTAATAAAAGTATCTTATTTATTATTTTAAAAATTTTCTAATCATATTATTGTCATGCTATTAATAATATTTGAACTCAATTATTATTAAGAGTGTTCAATAGTTCTATTAAATGAGGACCAGTACAATGAATATATACAATTTTCATATAAAAATGCTTCCTGAAAACTCTAGAATATCAATATTTAAATTCAAATTATTGCTTGATTTTTCTCTCTTTCTTTTCTCACCTTGGATATATTGAACTCTAAATTTGCTTGATCCCATGTCACCAACATTAAAGAGGTCCTGGAGTGAACTTTTATCCATAAGAAGGGCTCGAACCTAAGAAGCCATCTTTGTGTTTTTTTCTCAGATAGTATATTTGAAAACTCATTTTTTTAGATAACTATACACTTACTCAAATTCGTAAAAAACATCTAAAGAATAGGTTCAGAGAATTATAAATAGAACTAACAAAACATTATCACAGAATATACACTTAATGATATTTTTCAAATTTTTTTTTATCTGTAAATATTGTATTAGTGCTAGTGAAGTTTTAACATACTAGTATCTATTCAGATGGACTGCAGTAAATCATAGAGTTTCTATTGTTAGAATACTGAGTCAGTGTTTTTTTCATTTCATAAATGCATAGACTCGTAATTAAATTTGTGTATATAAGCTTGTATTAATGAATAAATAAAAACTCAATGGCGGGGCTTTGCCAGTTAAAAAAAAAAAAAAAAAAAACTAAAAAAATATCCTTATGATCTGCATAAAAGTCATGTGACTTTTAAATAAAATTTATTGCTTCGTTGCTTTGAAGTTTATTCCTATAACTCAAAAAATGTCAATCAAAAACGAAGAAACGCCTGTAGTAAACGTGAGTCATCTACTTTATATAACCTTCCTAATTATTATAAATAACTAATTATTTGTATACATAGTCATCAACTGTTACTAGACAAAAACTTGAGGAAACAGAGGCAGAACTTAGGGAGTTGCTAATCCGTAAAAAGCAAGTTGATAAAAGTTTGGTAAGTTTTTTAAAAGGTCACTGATATTTCTCGATATTTTTCGTTAATTCTTTCATTCTCCTTTTTTTTTTTAGAAAGCTATAGAAAAACAAATTTGGCAATTTGAAGGATCGTATTTAGAAGAAACTAATTCAGGCGGGAATTTGATTCGTGGATTCGATGGTTATTTGAGGTCCACGAACGATAAAAAGAAAAAGTCAGAAGTTAATTACGAAGACAGGTTATTCTCTAGATCAAGGTTAATTATGTTATATAAAATTTTGGTTTTTTTTAACAGCTTGTGATATTACGTTAACATGTCTTTGAAACTTTTATAGTACAACATCAGAAAGGGTACAGTATAATAATTTCTATTAATTTAATTTTCATAAGATATATAGTAGTTTTTTGTCTCTTGTCAATATATCAGAATTTTCAAATTTGGTTGGAAGTTAGGCCAATAGCAAGGCTGAAGACTCATCTTCAAGCTCAGATGATTTTAAGCCTGGTTTCAAAAAAATTGGAGATAACATGAAAAAGAAGAAAAATAAGAAACCCATAAACTATACTTATCCACAGGAAGTTAAAGAAGTTAAACGAATCCGATTGTCTTTACGAGACAACGTCGATGATGATTTTGACGTTTAAACATAGTTATTCAAAAAGTAAGCTGCAAACTATATTTTATCATATTCTTAGGAAAAATGTTAATTTATTTTCCTTGTGATTATTAACTCTGTATTTATTGTGCCATTTATTTCAGTCACTAGTGATTTACGCGACGAATGATGAATATAGTTTTTCTACGCTGAAGACCAGCACAAACCAGAAACGCCTGTTGTAACACCATTCGTTGTTAAAAACCTGAGTGAACATGGTAAATAATATCAAAATTAACTGAATTCTACATTAAAAATCAAAAAATTTTTATATATCGTTTATTTCATTTTCATGAATTATGAATTTAGGAACGAAATGTATTTTTTATGCAACAAATAGCGTATCCTTAAAAATTACATTGTATGTACACTAATATTTGGTTAGTAACGCTATTTTTTTATATATAGAGATTCTAGGTTCCGGAAACGTAATCGTTTTATGAAATTTTAAATAAAAAAAATCCTTACGTATAGTTCGACGAGAGTATGGTCTTTCTTAAAATATTACGATTTAGATGTTAATAAATAAATAATTAGATTTCTTATATGATTTATATTGTATATTAGTAAATTCTATAAATTCTCATTAGTGATATTAATGAGTATTAAAAAGTTTTTGATTTATTTAGCATTTTTTTTGATAGTTGGGATTATTAAACATGATTACACTATTTTAATAAAATTTTTACCCATAGCCAGGTTAGATCGTAGTTTATTAATCAATAGAAAACAGGAGTATATTATTATTCGAGCAGCCTAACATATACTATAGCTAAACTTTCACAAGCCAATTTAACTAACTTGTTATAAGCAATAATAGCCTCTAAGTTTGGCCTTGGGAATAAAATTATTTGTTATATATTTATTATTATTAATATATTAATGTTAGCTTATTTTATTTTTTTAACTTGCAATTATACTACTGTATTATAATTATCTTTATTGATAAAACTAAGAGAATCAAATCAATGTTACAATAATTTTTTATATTGATTAATTTATTTTTATATATTATTAATTAAAGAATTAAAAAAATATAAAAAAGTTTATTGAATTAGTTTAAATTAAATAAAATTTAAGTTTAAATTAGATATTTTTAAGTTTAATTTAGAAAATATTATTTTCTTCTATTTAATTTTTATATTTACATTTTTAAATTCAAAAATTGTTAATTATAATTTATTACTATTAATTATTTTAAAACTAATATATTATTAAATTATATATATTAAAAAAGAAAAAAAAAATTAATTTAAGATCTAAAAACTATCACTAGTCAAAATTGTGTCATTTAGCAACTGAATTATTATCAAATTTGATTAAATTTAATAATAAAAATATTGCTGAATTCTTTTCAATTGCTATC